TCATTTAATTTCTTCATTTGACACCCAAATTAGTTGAGAGAAACTACCCATGGGTTTTTGTCCTACTCCTGTATTAGTTTATTGGTTATTTGCATTCCACTTTTGCTGGATACATAAATACCATTGTACTATAAATGTCCCCAACAAACTTACATATGCCTCAGGTCCTGCCAGCTTTCCCCCAGCCCTTATTTTAAACACAACCTCAAAACCTTTTGTTTTACATTCTGTTCTATGAAGGTGGAGCCCAAACCCATCTGCAAACATTCCACATCTCCAAACATTGCTCAGTGCTTAATAAAAACTAACATCCCTCTTCTTACACGTGCACAGAAACTGACGTTCCTTTTGCCAAGGCAGACAACAGTATTTAACAGAAAGCTAGCTACTAGGCTTGCGCGAAGCAGCAAGCATCTGCTTCGGATTAGGCCGATTCGAAGATTCGAATCACTGTCCCAATTCGGCCAAATCGGATCTCAAGATTCAGCGCTGCTTCAGAGATCTGACCATAGACTAAACAGACAGCAGTCCTCACCATGCTGGACACAGATGCCTCCAGCTGGTAAGTCTGTTGTGGTGGGCAGAGGGGGGAGGGAGGGACTAGGAGTGGGGGCTATGCCCTGCTGCTGCTTGCTCCCTTCCACCCGGAGCGAGCTGTGCCTGCATTGCACCCCCCTCCCCACCCCTGGCCTGGCTGGGCAAGTGGCAACAGGCCGTAGCCCCTGCTCCCAGCACTGCCGCACCCACATCCCACGCTCCCTCCCCAAGTCCAGGGCCCCCCACCCCGGCTGGGCAGCTTGTCCAAGTCCCAGCCAGAATCCCTCCCTCCCCCATGCCTCTTTCCTACCCTCTCCGCCCACCACAACAGACTAACCAGCTGGAGGCAGCAGTGTCCAGTGTAGTGAGGACTGCTGCCTGTTTACTCTATGGCCGAATCTCCGAAGCGGCACCAAATCTTTTCCAAATCAATTTGGAGGCTTCTGATTCATTTGAGACTTTTTAATTGGTTTCCCGATTCTATTTGGACTCGGAGATTCAGTTGCCGAATCTCCTCTGAATTGAATCAGCTATCGAAGTTTTGCACAGCCCTAAAAAGCTATCACTGAGACTAGAACAAAGCTTTCTAGTCTAAATATATCTTCTGGCACCTCTCTCTTTAGTGCCCTATGCCAGCATTTCTCAACCCATGGGTCATGACCCAAAAGTGGGTTTCAAGAATATATGAAAGGGCCATGAACAACTTTAAAAACTGATTCTCTTTTAAAGGAGAAAAAAAGTGGGAAAACGTGGCTTTTCCCTTGCAGGCTGGCAAAGTTCCAGACTGTGAGAGGCTGCTTGGGGGCCCCCCCCCACACCTTTCCCTGCCCCCTACACTGTGGACTCGGGCATGAGGGTGGAGGGCAGTGGGTCAGGAGTGAGGGGCACTGGGCACTGGGTTGGGACTGGCCTTTGATGTTTACAAAAAAGGTTGAGAACCACTGCCCTATACCACCAGCAGAGAGAAACAAGCTCCTGCAGCCCCCAAAATGACATTTCTCCTTTTGTTTGTATGTAAGGAATGTGTTAGATTTTGAATGCTGAAGCCATAATCCCAAAAATATCAGAAAAGTTTCCCGATATCGACAGACACAACCCTGCTGATTCAGGGTGTGAGGGATGAGAGCACTGGGGAAGTGAGGCTCACAGAACCTTAGAATCTACCTGGCACACAGGTCAGTTTAAGCCAGCCTCAGTAATTATCTGCAGATCAAAGAAGTGGATGGCAACCACACTACCACTCCTTTGGCTCTGTGCATATCCCAGTACAATTTAAAATGTTAACACCTTGAAAGACTTCTCTCTTTCAGAAATGATATGCCACTCCATTGGCATGGTGGGAGGGAGGAAAGACTCCATTCCTCCCTCCCTCCCACCAGCTTGGTGCCGATTCAGAGCCTCCTACATGGTGAGGGAAGAAGGGAGGCAGGGGTGGAAGGGCATCTCCTATGTATTCCAAAGTTTCAGGGAAAGTTTTAAGCGACACTACACATGCCCCTATTGACTTCAGGGAAATAAAAACAAGGCAAGTTAGAAGAAATCAAGCTATCAGATTTCTGCCCCCTAGAGCTGGGGGCAGAAAAATCTCTCTGCTGCTGCCACCTTACACTAACCAGATGCAGTAGCTCAACTTGTTGGGAATCTGTAGCCAGGGGCATTAAAGATTAAGGAGAGCATTTTATAGACAACTCCAGTTGGGATGGATTGAATTGCCTGGTAAAACAATTTATTCCATAATACAGCAGCAGACCACATAATAAAATCCAAATCCCTATTCTAGATACCAGTCTCTTCTAGAATCTGGTAAGCAGCAGTGGGTCCTATCTTTAAAGACCGCACTGGAAACTCACCTAACATGGAAACCGGTCACAAGACAAGATTGCTCCAGATTCCCTAGCAGCTTTTAAACCTAGTGCCATGGGCAAAACAGTATGTGAGATGCAATGTCAAGAAAAACCATTAAGAAGGCAGATATACACATGCAATTTGTAACAGGTTAATATCCATTCATCACCATCTATTTGGTTCATACAGTACACATATTTTCTAAAGTTCTTTGTGTGATCATAATGCAAAATATATATCTGGCATTAGGAGACCAAATGCCAATTGTGCCATTGGTCTAGTAAGGAGGAATAATCTTACAGCTCTCCTAGGGTTTCTAGATTCTTTAGCTTGTCCTAGTCACACAGCTATCTACAGGCATTTCATATATTTCATAGGCATTTTACAGCCACAGTTCACTGAACCGTCATAATATTTTCTCAAGAAGTCAGGACAGAATTTCCTTTATTGTTAGCATGAACTATTTTAGAAACGGCAAAACATTAGACAAACTGTTGAAGTACAGAAATTACAATGACTAGTTAAAACCAGTTTCCCCTTCACTTGTCTAATAATCAACATATCTTAGTAAGACTAGGCAACAAGCTAGCTCCAATTTATCAGAGTATGGATTCTCACTGTCTGCTCAACCCTGCAATGCAAGTCATCATCCAAAATGCTGCTGAAATGCATGTAAGGGAACTCCTATGACATACTGAATACTCTAAAACAGGGGCAACCAATTATTTCAGGAAATACTTAAGTATTTCTGAGGGCAAGGGGAGGGACTTCTGGTGGCAAACGTCAGAGGTCAGGGGGTGGGACTTCTGGTCCCAATACGGTGACCAGGGAGCAGGGCAAGGGTCAAGGGGCAGGGCTACCAATGCGGTCCTCAACAGCTCACCAAAACTCATTAAGTGACCCGAAGAGTGCTGCATGTAGGGGCAAGGAGCACAGCCCATCTGACCCACCTCTATTGCAGGGGATTTGTGCCACAGGCTTGCAGCTCCCACAGTAGAGGCAGGCGGAGCAGGCTGTGCTCCTTGCCCCCACATGCAGCGCTGAATGGAGCTGAGTGACACAGAGTACCAGTGCCTGCATGGGGCACGAGAGCCCATGTCTGCTGCTGCTGCCCACAGGGGACTGCACACCATGTGGGGGTCCACCTCCCCACCCTCCCTCACACACCCATCCTGCCCAGCTGAGCTCCGTGTTCCTGCTGCCTCCCCTAGGCTGCCTCCAGCCCCAGCCCCATGCTGCCTGCCCCCACCCAGCTGCAGCTCCCCCTCAATCTCCACCGCTTCCCTATCTGCTGCCCAAAATGAGTGGGATGCTGGGGAAGCCAAGCAAGTCCCCCCGCCCTGGGGCAGCTGCAGCCCTTCCACCCAAGAGGGTGGGAGTGAGGCACAGTTGGGGGGAGGGTGTATACATGGGTGCTTCACTCCCACTCTTGTGGACGGAAGGGCTGGGCGGGATACAATTCATTGGTGGGTACCTGTGGGCCAAATTAAAGCGTCTAGTGAGCCGCACATCAGGCCCATGCCGTATTTTACCTGTTCCTGCTCTAAAAACGTTTTGTGCTTAAAACCATTAGCTCCAGTCATAAATAGCTTATTGGAAGACTTGAAGACTCAAGTGTATGTGAATCTCAAGTCTCACTAAACACTTGAATTTCATCCAAGAGGCCATCTAAAAGAAAAACTGTTTAAAATAGTCAGTTTACAAGAGAAGAGTCCCTCTTCCAAAAACCCATAGCTTCAATATTAATAAATAAAATAAATTAAAACAAATATTATGGGCAGATTAGTTATTACTGTTTGACATTATGTGGGGAAAAAAGCTGTACAAAGATCTTTTTCATCACTGTGATCTTAAGAACAGAGCTACATATTATAGCAGCAACATATGAGGTGGTATATACAAAGCTGGTGGCACTGCCTACCAGTAAGACTGCTAGCATTTCCTCACTGTAAACACTTTTTTATTTTATTAACATTTCACCAAGCTGGAAAGGGCTAATATTTCCCATGCTGGATGTGTGTGATTTTCTTTTTTTTGGAAATTTTTTGTCAAAAGAGTTCAGCCATTTTCTATGAAAGAGGCTAGGGAAAAATATATTATTTTTTCCAGAAGAATCCTTTTTAAAAGCTTTAGTTCTCTCATGCTTTGGTTGGGTGCATTTAGGATTTGGAAAAGTGTCTCTTGCCCCCCCCCCCGTAAAAATCCATCCAACTTTGGCCAAGTTATAAGCATCTGAAAACAGTAGTACATATAGGATCAGAAGAGACTTCCTAGATTTTAGCAGCAGAATTTCCTGGAGTCTGCTCATGCTTTTTAGGAACTTCCCCTGCAATTACAGCTGTGGGTTGTTGCAAACTGGGCTAGTTCTGAACCATGAGAAATAAAATACTCTGGAGTTTAAAGTGACTTATGGCAGTGGAAGGCAGAGAGAGAGGACAGATATTTTATGGCTAGCCTATTCTTTCACTGGCATTTCCACAGAGCTACACCCTGGCTAGAGTGCAGACTGTCTTACAAAATTACTTGTGTAGACAGTTTTTCTAGTCACCAAACACTAAACTGCAACAACAAACTATATTAAACTATCATGAAGTAGATGACAGCTAATTACTCCTCACCTCATTTGGTGGAACAATAGCAAAAGGCGTGACAATAGCTGCGAGTGGAATCCGAGCCTGTTTGGCCATATCTGAAGAGGCTGGAAAGCAGTATGTTGTACATCGGATGTAACGAGGGCTGGCATTGCCTAAAACAGGCAACAAAAAAACAAGACAAAGCCAAAACTTGATAATGACAACATGAATGTAAGTGAGGATTCATAATGTATATACCCTAACAAGAGATTCTTTGTCTAAGTGAGTTTCTTCCCACTTCTACCTTACTTATTATCAGAGAACTTAAAAGGATCTTGGAAGCTAAACTTCTATATCCCAAAGGTAACGTCTACATTACAAAATGCAATGGTGTGTAAAGCTACTCAAGCTGGCTGGGTACTGGAAGAATTATAGCACATTAGCAAAGCGTGAGTTAAATTTACCCTGTGGAGAACTGCACTAATGTGGTTATACTGCTTCTACCACCCCTGGCTAGCACAGGTATCTCTACCTGGGACGGTATGGTACAGCACAGACAGCCACTGAAAGTCAAGGAGGGCTGGGCATTTAACTTCTTAATCACCCTTTTAAAAATCTCTGCGCGCAACTTTAATTCTTGGTTTCTTCTTTAAAATGTTTTTGTTCAAAACTCCTTGCCTTCAATCCTTGGAATAGACAGAAGTATTTACACCAAATTTCTCCAGAGTTCATCCAAAACAAAAAGAAATAGAGGCTGGTCTAAACAGTATCACAAACTTAATTTACATAAAGAGATTTATAGTTTCAAGTCTTAAGTTAAACATGGACATGGATGTTGAGATACACAAGCACAAGGCACAGCAGTCTGCAGATGCCAGGATGGAAGTGGAGTTATACAAGCAAGCAGAAAGTTAACCCAGAAAGCAATTTTGGACTGTGAAGAGAGATTTTGACTGGAGACTACCAATATGCAACAAGTTAAAGTTATCTGAAGATTTTTTTATTTTGTGTGTGTGGGGGGGGAGGGGTGTCATTTAAAATTTCAGCATGGATGCCTTTAAAATTTCATGTTTCCTCTATTCTTCCTCTCCATATGCATATCTTAAATGCCAAGCTCTTAAAATGGCAGGGGAAGTTGAAGAGAGTTCTTCAATTAAGAATTTTGTCTAAAGTTATTAAGAAGTCATTCAAATATTTTATTTCAAAATTAGACACAGAAAAATACCATCTCTGTATTTTTAATGTTTCATTCTTGTAGCTGAAAAACTGAGTTCCAGGAGTTCCATGGAAGCTACATTAGATCATCTTTGACAAGCCCTTTGTCCCATGGAAAATAGTCAGCCAACCCCATATAAACACAGTGTTTTTAGGATATGCAATTCTTACTAGTTCATATTACTTAAATTACTAATGTGCAAGTTTAACTGTGGATTTTAAGACTCAATGGGTGCTTGCAGACATAAAGAAAACCCCAAAAGAAACAAAAACTGCGCTTCAAACTCAGCAGGATCCTGCACTGAGCCAATGCACATCCAGAAGAGGCAGTGCATTACTTCAGCCTGGCTCACCTGACATCTGTAAAGATAAGCCACTTTAGTGGAGCTTTTTTGGCACTTTTACCTAATAGCTGATGAAATCAGCTTTAGCTAAAAAATGCCAAAAAGTGCCACTGAAGTTCCTTATCTTTACAGAGGCTGCAGAGCCAGGTTGAAGTAACATGCTGATTCCTTCAGTAAAGTGCAGGTTTTGGTTTTTTTAACATTTGCAAGCAGCCAAGATTGTTATTCCTTTAATGACATTTTTGAATGTGCTATTGAAGAAGAGACCCCACACCTTGGGTAAATTCATCAGTACATGAAGGATTCTCTTTGGAGGTCACAAATGTTTCTGCTCTGAATGTTGAGGTTTTTTTGCTCAAGGACTGACAATAGTAAGATCCTGATCCTGAGAAGTGATGAGCATTTCAACCCCCTATGCTGTGGGATGCTCAGACTGTCAGGAAAAGAAAGCCTTAAACTATTACAGAAAAGCCACAATCCTGCAAACACTTATCCGTATGCAGTTAAATTGAAGCCAAAAAATAATGAAACTAATGAAAATATTCAGGCTCATAAAGCTAGTCATACACTGAAGCATTTGCAGGGTCAATGCAGTTGAGTAAAAGGAGTACTCCCATGTTACAAGCTTGCATTTCTCTCACTTGGATGATTTTGTTGTTAGCAACACTGCCATGGAAATAGGGTAATGGTAAACACATTGTTCCAAATTACTACATTTAGTATCATCATTTCTTTTTCATCCTGCATTTCTAACAGTTAACTACTTTAACTAATGGCTTAAAAAGGAAAGCTAGTTATGTTTCACAAACACATATAGACCAACTGGTGCAAAGGAAAATAAACCATTAAGGCTACGTTATAGACTTTCCTTTTATTTATGGCATGAAAAAATACTGTATATTTAATTTTTAGAAGTGCTGCACATCCAAATTCCACTGAAATTAATGGAAGACACAGGACTGTCAGTATTTCTGGAAGTCTATGCATTTGTGTTTTGGTTCCTAGTTACAGAATTCCAAGTTTAAGCATAATGAAAAGATACATTTTCATCTAGTAAAAAGACCAAGTAATGGCACACAGAGTTACCTTGATCTTGCACCACACAATCTGTGGTGACGAGAGGAGGAACTTGACCTCTGATATTTGTAGCATAAGTTTGACCTCCTCTAGAAGCCTTGTCATTTTCAATTACCTGAATCTGGGGAACAAGCAGCAAAGAACAACATGAGAAAGGGCAAGCTATATTTTCATAAAAAGTTTAGTAGTATGCACACCCAATCAACATGATCTACACAGATATGCACAGAAACAGTCTTTCTAATATGTAGATACAACACACAGGTTTCCAAGACATCCACACTCAGAAATCTGTGCACATAGCTGAACATGTTAGCTACTGTTCTATAAGCATGGTTGCTTGTAAGCACTCTATATGCAGGACTCACTGTAGGACCAATCTGTATAAATCTCAAAACACCAGAAACTAATGGCTTGGAAGATAGTGTTAGAGACAGGTTAGCCAGTTGCACAAGTGGAATACTTATGAACAAAGTACACACGTTTAAAATCTGCAATTGCATACAAACAAACTCCCAATTCTGGATCTGATCATCTCAGCCCCTCCAAATCAAACTAGGGGTGACAACTGGGACTCAGGGTTATCTTTGCATCTGCAAAACAATGTTGCCAGCCAATACAGCTCATAACCAAGTGTATGAATAATCCATCAGTTAATATTCTCTTCCTGGCTGTGCTACCTTTCAGTGTTACCAGTCAGGTACAATGGTGCAGAACTTTTGAAAGCAGCCCTATGGCATTCAGCACTATCATTCTTCAGAGTCAGCTTGTCAGGCTGCGTTAAGTTAATTCCTAAGAAGGCAGCAAAGGTAAGCAACCATTTGCTTAAGCCCTATCTAAAACACAAAGTTCCACTAGTTTAAAATTAAATGCAAAGCACTGAACAGATTTCATTACATAGGGGAAGCTCTCTGTGGACAGGTGCACGCACGTTTAAACCTGGTTTACAGCAGCTAAGACTGCACCTATCATTTACTAATAGATGAAGGATTTACAAAGACTGTCAGTCAGAAGCCACAGAGACAAAAAAAACCAAAAACCAAGTTAGTAAGGAACCTATTAATTGTTACCCAAAAAATACTGTAATACTGAGAAAAAAAATAATCATCATCTTGGACAGGTAGCATTTGAACCCTTTCCTAGACTAATTAAACAGAAATGTTACACTTAAACGTCGTATCTGCTCTTCATGTAATTTTTATGTATTGCCTTTTGGTACACAATGGGGTTCCTTGGAGATTTCTCCTCTGTCTTGGCTTACATACCTACTGCTAGCTCTTTGCACCAAGGAAAAAATTATTTACTGTAAAAAAGAGATGATTGTGAGCTATTTACAGACTAGGCTACGTGGAAAATACATTCAGATGGTGCTCAACGGTTAACTGACCTACGCATATCATTATTCTTGGAACTAGTTTTTGACAAAGCACAGATGTTGCTTTCCAGAGATGTTGTTAGAGCACAGATCAACCATTAACATTTGGAAGAAAATATAATCAACACTGGCTGTGCAGAAAAAGTAAAATTTAGCTGGCAAAACCTATTCAACTTGATCACATAAAACACAAGAAAACATGCACATGGTGATACTTCTCATTTTGAATGAGCTCTTTTGCCCTTTACAGAAAGGATCTGGGTCAATGTCTCTTTTAAACATGTCATTCTGATCCTAACTGTGCTGCTAAAATAAACCCTTTAACCTCTTTGAACAGTACTTTCTAAGTCGACGCTGTTTATTCTACTATGGTAATTGAAACAAGACATCAGAACATGCTTTTATACCAGGGATTTTTTATTTTTGTTAATGTGACTGAATATTTTATCTTCCTTCATGAAAATATGGTATCAAATGGTGAGATGCTTAAAGATAATCCATTAAAGGCAATACCTACATTTGCGAGTTATATGAGCAAATGTATTTCTAAGCATGCATTTCAGCTACTTCAGTTACTTAGCCTGAACATCACCTCAAATAAAGGCAAATTGGGTTTTTATAGAAAATAGCAGAGAACCTTTTTCCAGCATTACTTCTGTATTTAGTATTAAACAGTCATTGGATAAAATACATAATTAGTTGTGGGAACAGGGAATGACACTTAAGCAAGTGCCCTCACCACTAGGCTAGTCATACTCTCTCTGCCTAATGACCCTTGAGATCTTCTCTCCTTAGTAGTACAGCATCAAGTGCATATAATGCCTACTCCTAGAGAAGTCATCAACCTGGTGATTAGGGAAGTTTTTAGGAAGGAGTGGAAGTGTTGGCTCACTTCCTAAGCAAATGTTCTAACTGCTGAACTATTACATAAAAGGGGATGTACTACCACCACCACCACATTCTCCTCATCATCCTCCCCCAGCTGTGTGTTAAGTACATCCCACCAGACAGAGCCCCTCAGAAGATTAAAGTAGACACATATTTTGGCTTTGGCCTGCTTTACTAAGTGTAAGCTCAAAGTTCTGCAGGCAAAGCACCTCTGTAATGGCCAGATCTGCAACTCTACACCAATGAGTTAACCAACTTCTGCCAAGCAGGGTATGGTTTTTGCCACCATGCAGCGGCTAGATTAAATCATTCAAGTATGTCAGTGCTTTCCCAGGGTGCACTCCACACTCTGCCAGCCCAGCTGCTGAGTGGAGCTCTATAGAACCTCGAGAGTATCTTGTGCACATATTCTGGCAGCTGCTGCCTGACACCAATATTTCTGGCAGCAGAGATAGGTAAGCGTAGTCACAGCCTAGTTTCTGGAACCATTTTGGGCTTAGGCCTGAGAAAAGCACTAGGCTGCTCAGCCCCATCAAGACTGAGGCAATCTGGGGCAGGCACAGAGATGCAACAGTAGGAGCCTCAGGAACTTTAAAGTCAAAGAAGAAGGTGAACTAGGAATCAGAAGCCTCCAGGATTCAGCAGCAGCTGAACAAAAGTTTCCAGGACTATTTTTTTTATTTAGGCATCTAAATATTGCATAAATTCTAAAAATAACATCATAAAAACAGAACCAGATTCAATAAAGGGTTAGATACTAGGGCTGTGCAAAATTTCAGCAGCGGCTTCATTTCGGAGGCGTTTCACTGCGAAACACCGAAACTGAAATGGAACGGAAGGCTCCAAAACCATCCGAAATGTTTCAGAAAGGTTTCATACGTTTCGGAGGCACCCTCTGGGAAGAGTCTGGCACAGCCTCGCAGCCCTCCTTTTAAAAAGTTGGGAGGCTGGGGCCAGAGCCAGACAGGGCAGCCATGGGGGCTTCTTGCGCAGCTTCCCACATCTGGGGCAGAGGCAGGCACAGCTGGGGGAGCCACGGGAGAAGCCATCCCATGGCTGCCCTGCTCAGCCTCAGCCTCAGCCTCTCAGCACTTTAAAAAAAAACAACAAAACAAAAAAAACCCCACATTCACTGGCTGCAGCAGCGGCACTGGGGCCTCTGAGGGCACATGGCAGAGCCGCCCTGCACAGCGCGGGGATCGCCCCTCCCCACTTGGCACCCACACCACAGCTGTCCCATCGCGCGGGTGCAGTGCTGCTTGGCAGGGCGTCGCGTGCTGTCTGGGAGCTGGGGAGGCTCCACCTCTCGGCAGGAGCCCCGCACTGCTCAGCCCCCGTGGCCCCAGCTCCCAGACAGTGCACAGCACCCTGCCGAGCCACATTGCATCTGCACCATGGGGCAGCTATCATGTGGGTGCCAGGTTGGGGGGGCGATCCCCACTGCCCCCAACTGTTCCACATTGCACAAGGGGACTCTGCCACAAGCCCTCAGAGGCCCTGATGGCCACTGCTGCAGCCAGTCATTGTCAGCCTTTTTTTTTTTAAGTACCAGGAAGCTGGGCCCGGGTGCAAGATGGGGCCAGGCAGGGCAGCCATGGGGGCTTCTCCCATGGCTCCCCCAACCTGGGAAGAGGCAGGCACAGCCGGAGAAGCCATGGAAGAACTTGCAGCTGCCAGCTGTGCCAGTCTCTCCCTGGCCGATGCAAATCAGCGCCAACACAGCGTCAAAACTCCAAACAGATTCAGCCGAATCGAAACAGAATAGTGATCCAAAACAGTGAAATGAATCACTGTCCTCCGAAACCGAAACGAAACATAGCTGTTTCACACAGCCCTATTAGACACCTAAAGTAGATCTTTTTGGAGAAACAAGAGATGGTTATTTGTTGGCTTTTCAAGTAGAAATAATGTGGATGAAGCCCTAGGTATTGATCAGGTACTTCCCAAAGGGAAACATATTGTGTAATATTATCACATTAAGAAAGACTGAATGATATGCTCAAAAAAATAGTAGTAAGGCTGAACACTGCTGTTACATTATACCCTACAGAAAAGATTTTCCTCCAGATAGAGAATTCCACATAATTATAAATATATCCTATAAATCATTTTTAAACAAAAAGAAAAATGACCAACAAATGACAGTAAAATAAAACAAGAAACGTTAACTTTTACAATTTCTGCCAGCACAAAATGTTCTTATGAAAAGCAGTTCACTGCTAGAAGTCCCATATTACTTACTGGGCTTGGAATGGAATCAGGATCAAGCTTCTTCTGCTGTGGACCTGCAAGTTGGCCTGGACCACCAGGAAAAGCACCAGGATAAGAGAGCTGAGATCCTGCCATCTGAGGGCCATAGTTCGCTGCAGCATTACAAAAAAAAGTCATTGACAAATTTTCATCAATGCAACACGAAGTTCTTTCAGAGTTCTTTCAGATGTCTGAATCTGCCTTTTCCATCAAAGTGCCAGTGAAATCAATAGATTTTGGCCCTTTTATTTTATTTTATTTTACTTTATATTTTTAAAAGAAAGCATGTGGCACGGGTTTCTTAGTTGTTTAATATGATTTGTCTGATTTTGCACTGGGCCCTAATCTGGGCTTCTATTTTTATGGATACAATTTTGTAAGTGCAGATAAATGTACCTGAATTTCTGTGCCTACTGTTTATTACTTCAAAGATAAGCCTCAAGGTAGGCATGGTACATCCAGAGACAACAAAATGCATGGGCCACTATACACTATGGTCTGGTCCGTAGGGTCTTCCATGACCTAGATGGACTTGTCAGTACATAAGGTCTTGCTGTTAAGGAACACAGGTCCTGTTAGGGAACACAGGTCCTAGTTGGCTTGAAAACTAAAGAGCCAGAAAAAAGGTAGAGGTGAACCTACCTGCACCTGGTAGAACAGAGGATTGCATTAGCACTTACTAATAATTTTCAACACCACAAAAGACAATGTGCAAAAGCTGCTGCCAGCAGTCAGTGCAGGGAGAGGGAGCACTCTGTTTCTTTCTGGAGCATTAGTAAGAAGCAGTCTGTAGAATGCTGTCCCCTTCTTCATCCCCTTTCTATCAATTCATTTTGTTCATGACTTAAGTATCCCAATGGATTTAGCTTCTCCTTTCTTCACAGTGCATTAGACAGAATCTCTGCCTCTCTGCCCCTCTCCCCCCCATGCCAAGAGTCACACTCTAATTATCTAGGAAATCTATGGAAGGCTTTCCTCTGGCATCAATAGAAGTTAGATCAGGCCTTGTATGCCAAAAGAAAATAATGACACTTAGTTTCATATCAGTAAAACCCGATTCATGGCAGCAATTCTAATGGGTGTTTGGCTGGGGATAGTGGAAGAAAGGAGTGCTTCCTTTTAAAAATAAATAATATACCAGACTTCCATACTTACCATGCTGAGGGTGATACCCAGGCCCTGGGGGTTGTCCTGGAAGTTGCTGTAAATTGGCATTTGGCGGGCCAGATCCAGGGATCCCATCTTGCATGGCCAGTGGAGGCAATGAGGGCGGAGTACAAATTCCATTCAGATTATTTGCTGGTGTTGGAGGAATCTGAGCCCCTGGTGGTAAGGCCATTTGTGGTTGCGCTGATGGCAGTGGTGGACTTTGGAAAGATGCTGGAGGTCCAGAGGGCATGCGAGAGCTTGGAGAAGCACCAGGACCTGTGCAAAGGTATTACATTACACATCAATGATGGCTTACTAACAAGCTTAAGAGATTAAGCTTAAATCAAAACAGATTTTATATGCCCAAGTTTATACCTTGAGGCCTGATTTTTACAATAATGTTGAGTGCCCACAGGCTCCAAAACAAAATAAGCCCTTAAAGCTGTCTGGACTGGGATGCCCAAAAGCATTACCAACTTTTGAAAACTAAGATTGCCCTGATGTTATTTGCAAGCTTTCAGGCACAATCACCCTTCTTCAGGCATAATGTCTCCCTTCTGCCCCAGCACAAGCAGAAGGGAGATACTGGAATTTGGAAGACAGCCCTGAACTTGACACTCTGACTCTAGGAGGTTGTCTATAAAGTACATCCTCTAGATACTGTTGTCTATCCTCTAGATAGCATAGACATTTTAGCCTCCGATTACTTTGTCAGCACCATAAAATTCAAGTCTACACTACTTATTCTCAGTTTCAGGTTTTTTAAAGAAAGATATAGCTCAATTTCACCACAGAAAGCTAAGTTTTCCCTACTCCTATACTACTCAATTGTACAAGCCCATTATTCATCCATAATACATCAAAGAAGATTTAGGATCAATTCTAAAAAATATCTGCAAAAAAGGCCAAAAGTCCCATGATTACTGTATTCCAGTAACTTCAGTTTGAGTTTGGGTAGCTTTCCTTGTTAAATAAAATGTTTTTACCTCACTAGTCACCAGCATTACAAACTCCCTGGGATTGAAATCAACCTGAACTATTTTATTCTCAAATCACCATTAGTGGCAAAATGTATTGCAGACTAAATACCGTTCTTTATTATAATTGGGCAATCTTCTTCCATATGATCCTTATAACATCTGTATAACATCATAGTTTTTTCTGTGGTTGCACAGCTGTAACTGAGGGCACAATTTAGCCCTGAAAACGGTATTCTGATGAGAATATGCAAGCAAGTACAAAATTCAGCTTACTCCTCTCAGCTGCGTTCATTCTGCAGTGTTAATGAGAATAAAGACATAATACGCTCTAATATAAGCAGATATAACATTCAAAACACCCAGGGAGCACCTCTTTTTAGTGTTATTTTCAAGATGAAAACCTGTTTTTAGGAAGCAGTCTTAAAAAAAAATCTCAACATTCATCAGAAAAAATAAAAATTCCATACTAATCATACTTTTTAAGTTTAATATACAATACAATATTGGCCATATCCACAAGAGTGTGGACGGCTGGTTCCCCAGGGACAACTAGCAGTGAGACACCTTGTGCCACTACCAGTTATCCCTGGGGAATGTCTGTGCCATGCACCCTCTGGTGAGCAGCAGGTTACCTCAGGTGGGGTAGGGGAGGCTGGGGCCCAAACAGGGCTGGCCCCAGCAGCCTTACCTGGAGTCCTGTGGGTCTCCTGGGGCTGCAACAGCAGCAGCAATCCTGCCACTCAGAGCCTGGCTGGCATGTGGCGCTCCGCTTTTTTTGTGCAGGTTTTTTTTTTTTTACCCCTGCATACCCCTTGACCCCTGGTCAAAGCCCTCCCCACTCCCATTCTTCCCTTGCAGTGCAGAGAACAGCTGAACGTGCAGTACGTGGTGCCACATACTACCCGGCCACACCCATCTGGATGCAGCCCCTACGTGCATCCAACACAATAGATGTTTAGCAAACTGTACTTTCAAGAATCAAGCCTGTTCAGACTGGTCTAACTCTGCTTCCACTGCAGTCAGTGGGAGTTTTACCATTTTCTTCAGCACTTTGAAAACTTCCTCTCCTGAGTGGTATAAAATAATTTTATCTGTAAACAACTTCAGCAGTGGGCTGAGACTGAAGTTTAGGAATCTGAATAGTGCTCAAGGCAGAGGCTATTATTAGTAAAGTGAAACAAAAAGAAAACCAAAAATTGCTGACTCAACATGCTAACAGACAAAAATGGACAAGTACCATAGCTATTTATCTGCATGGTGCCAAGCTGATTAGCCAGTTGGGCTGTGGATGAAGGGGATGCAGTATTTGCATATGGTGGCTGTGACTGATGATTGTAGGGAGGATAGGAAGGTGGTACACTGCTGCCAGGTGAAGGACCTTGAAACCTGAGGAGAGAAATTACATTTATATTGCTTAAGAAACCATTTCAGACAACCATAATTCACATGCCATTTAAACCATCAATAAGAAGCCAAACTGCCAAAGGAATCTCCTCAGATTTTGATCAAAGATGGTATCTTCTATGTTAAAAGAAGACCCAGATCATTAAGAAAGAAAACTGGGGGCATGTGGAAATAGCAAATGTTCATTTGCTCACACAGTTACTCAGCTGAAGCAAAAAACTGTTAGGGCTTTACCTTTAAGCTTTTGCTCATGCAGTTTAGAAAACTCTTATGATCGCACCAGTCCAGAGTTCTCATGCCTTTTCCACTCTTGGGAGTGGAATCCATTCCCCACTCAGCTGGGAATGAATGAAAAATATTCCTTTCTGGTTAACAGAGGAATTCCTGTGGGAAGGGGGGAAATAACGAGGAGAGGCTGTCCAACCTTCCCTGCATGTAGTAGGAGGAGGAAGAGCCTATACGGGGAATGCAATAGGTGGTATTTTCCATGTGTGTCAGAGTTCAAAGAATCTGGAAGTGAGGAGGCTTCAAAGTTGGGCAGAGATAAAGCACAAGTGGATGGTACAGAAGAGGAGAAGAGAGGATACATCCAACCTGACCAACACCCCTTAATTCCCTTGGTTTTCTTTCTGAATAGCTGTCTTTTTGACTACTGCTTGCAGGAGATCTTCTATGGTGCTGTACCTATATTCTCTCTCTGAACATAAGGCAACTTTTCTTTTCCTATATGTAAATTGCTATTAATTTTCTTTACAATTTTGTTCTAGGCACTTCCTAACTTTGAATACCAGTTCTTTCTAACCTGAATGTAAGCAGTATACAGAGATAAAGACAGCATATGATGGCAAGGTAATGAACTGAAAGTCAAAGAATAAAAATCTGCAGTATTGCCACTGACTTATTAGGTGCCACTAAGACCCCTGCCACACATTATACTTACAATGTGATTAACCAGTTAATCACACTCTGAGCTGTAACCCAGCCACACATTAAAGTAATTAATGGTATCATAAAACAAGGAATAAGCCACAAAGTTATTCCACAAAAAATGTGAAGTAACTTTGTAGCTGGTTCCTATCACCACTAATTGAACATGTGGCCAGATGCACCCTCATGACTGGGAGCCCACTGCTGATGGGGTTCCCAGCTGCAGGGGTGCACCATCAGCTGTGGGCACTGGATTACCATGGTGTGCCTCCTCAGGTGGGAGCCCTGCTGGCTGATGGGACTCTCAACTACAGGAGCTTGCTACTTGCCAATGCAGGGGGAGTCTGGGATTGTGCTCCCAAGCTCCCCTTACATCAGCAATAAGGCATGATAGGATCTGATGTTTAATGCCACGATCACACACATGTGGCGTGGCAGGAAATGCAATGGTGTGGATCGTGCAGGAGATCCCACTGCACCTTTACCTGCATATCTGGCAGGCATCTAAGTCACTTCATCTTGCTTTTTTCCCATTACCATCCAACTACTTGTGTGTTTAGACTACAGACTCACTCTCAGTAGTGCAGTGGAACTTAATCACCACTGGAAACCTTATTTACAACACTGAACTGCTGTGTAGTTTCAGCCAAAGTAAATATCACAACATTATGTTGTTATTAGATGCAGTTTGATACACTTATGAAAGGGATTCTAGGACATGGTTACCAGAAAAAAAAAACCCACAGGAGAGTACTTCAGGACTGAAGGTCTCCTTTGTGCTTATGTCTTTTCCTCTACTGGTTTACTTCCTTCTTTGACTTGGTTTTCTGAGAAGCTTTAAGTCATGACAAGTGACTTAAGTGCAGGGGGACTTGCAGGATACAACGAACAGGCTGTTCTACCCACTTTGTAGGTATAGTGAGAAAAAGGACAAAAGCCAACTGTCTTCAGTCATCCAAGAAACATACAAGTTTCACAGCACTAATTGCCTCCTAGGCTGTGTCCACACCAGCGCAGATGTCTGTTTCCCTGAGGACTTGTCCCTGGGGAATGCCTGTGCCACGCCTTCTGGTGTGAGGCAGGTTACCTTGGGTGGGGTAGGGGAGGCTGGGCCCAGCAAAGCATTACCTGGGGTCCTCGGGGAGCTGCAGCTGCATCGCTCCTGAAGCTGGAAGCATGGTCGACAGCCAGAGCATCGCTCCAGCAGGGTAGGCTCCAGTTTCAGGTGGCATGCACTGCTGCCACATGCACCACCCCACTTTAAGGCATGGGGTTTTTTGAACCCAAGATCTCCCAGGGTCAAACCCGCCCCCCCGTGCTGCAAAGTAGCAGAGCAGGGAATGCCTGTGTGTGTGGTATGTGGCACCACAGACAGGTCTGTGGCAACCAGGACCATCCTTGGGGGGGCAGCAGCGGTGGCGCAAAACTACCCCTCCCCAATGCCAATACTGCTGCTGATGGCAGAGGCAGCTTCTTCACATCCAGGGCGGGGGCAGGGCCCCACATGGGCTGATCTGCCCCGGAGCCTGCACCCTGCTCAGGTCAGCTCTGGTGACACCACCCACATATCTGCGCTCACCTGGAGGTGACCCTAAAGTGCATATTGAATGATTTATTTTTATTATGATACAGCTATACTTGTTCTTCTAGATGTATTTTCATCTGACTGACAACCCTCAGTTCTACCTGATTCAAAGAATGGATTCACAATGTGGTCTCTTATACCTCAAAGGAATGCCCCAATTGCCAGGTAATTCAGTCAGTCAGTCTCCCTTGTTCTATCCTGTGGAAGCTCTTACACTTGAAGAAATAAAAGTATTAATTGTGTCAGAGAATATGAAACAGACTTAACAGGCTAGTGGTTAAAGCAGTCATCTAGTTGACATGACCAACAAAGATGCAAGTCCCTGCTCTGCATCTGACAGGAAAAGGACAATGAAATCCCCAGCCACTAAACTTTTAGCTAGTCAGGCAGGTTGGCGTGGGGTGCAGTGTGGTGTAACAGGGAGAGAGGTTTGTCTCCTTCTCCCTTACGTTTTGATCAGAAATCAATTCTGGACCTAAGAAAGCTTTCCAACAAGAAGGAAGGGAAAATACTGGTACTTTTTGCTGAAATATTTCTGCTTCAATGAGCAGGCATTTTCCAATAAAAATCACAGCCCAAACATTCCCAAATCAGCTCCACTTTCAAATCAGCTCCACTTATCATTAAAACCAGGGCTGGCCAACTGGTGACCTGGAGTCTGCATCTGAGGGGTTAACCTGCCTCTGAGCTCCCAGTCCAAGCACCACTCCTTTCACTGGTCCCCTGCTGCTGCTGCCACAGTCTCTGGGCTCCCTGCTTCTTGGCCAACCTACAGGGCTCAGGGAGCTTGAGACCAGGGGGCTCAGGAGACCTGGGGAACCTATGCATTGGACTGCAGTACGGCAGAAGGGCTACATGGTGTAAGGGCACTGGCATGGTGCAACAGCAGGCCCATGGCAGGGGCACATGGCATGGTGCACTTGGACAGCCGTGACCTAAACAGTTTCCAAACTGGCTGGATTAGAATAATTGGAAGATATGCATCCATTATGAAAAAGGCAAGTGAAAGAATTAAATAATTAACGTGGTCATATGTAAAGTCACCTGTGTTGCTGATGCCCTGGTGTACTGGGCCCATTCTGGAGATTGGTCTGATTATACAGGTGGATGCCAGGAGGTGGGGATCCAACAGGAGCAGAAGATCCAAAAGGCACAGTTGATTTCAACATACCTACAAAATAAATAGCACACAAATACATTATATCTATTACATTACCACAGTACCATTACGTATTACCACAAAACCCTACGTTAAATGGGAATTCGTTGAGCACTAGCATTAAGTTTTCCACAGTAGTAGCTAAGACTGGATGAATTCAGAGAGAGCAATAGGAAGTCACCCAAAACATTTAACAGTGTTGACCTGCTACTTGTGCCTTCTCATCCTCCCATCTTTTCCTACATCTGCCCTCAGCTTGCAGGGATCCCAGTTTGTATTTACTGGGCATGTCTACACGTGCCATTAATGTGCAGCAATACGTTACAGAGCATATTGCCCTGCAGTTTACTGCTACCAGGCACGTAGTGTACACATGCGTCCAGACCATAGCATATTAAGCCAGCAACCCTGGCTGGCAGGGGACCACAGGGGCTGGCCTATCAGCCTAGTGCTGCTCTGACCAGGCTCAATGTGCTGTGGAGGAGCTAGTCGGGGCACAAGGGTGCTTCAGTGCAGGGCTAACTGGCAGGCAGCCCCCACACCTTTGTGCCCCAGCCAGCCCAGCTGGCGTTTACACATGTACTGCTGAGCATGAAAAAACTCTGCAGCAGGGTAGTACTTTTATTTACAAGTTCTATCCTGCTGGGGAGTTTATTAGTTTTGTGCACCCCAATGGGAGCACATATGTCAAGGCTGAGATGTTTACTGTGCAGTTAGTCAACTGTGTAGTAAGTGTCTCGTGTAGATGCGACAACTACCTAGAACATTGATTAGGAACAAAGAGGTGGAAGAAAGGGGAATATGAAAAGGGGAGGAGGAAGCAAGAGCAAGATAGACAGTACAACGAGGAAAAGAAATGACAGGAAAAGATAGACAATACAGGGAGGAAAAGAAATGACAGTGGGAAGGAGTAGAGGAAAAATGAAGGGGGAAAGAAGCTAGAAAGGGAAAATGCATGAGTTCAGAAAGAGAGCTTTCAACCTAGTGTAGAGAAAACCCTTTGATTTTTTTTTAAACCAAAAGCATGATTTGTAATTTCAAGCCTTCCCATTAGGTGTTTTAATGAAAAGCATTCTTCTTTTAAGAAAATATTTTTTTTTTGCCCCTCAGAGTGCTGTATCTCAAAAGCGTTTGAAAACTTGCAACAGGCTCATTATGAAAATACCTCCTGAACTATTACTGGGATCCCCAAAATAGGGCTGATTCCTAAATACAGAGAAACCCGGAAAGCTGACTGATTTGTAGAAAGATACTACAACTTAAGTTAAAATGAACAATACAAATAGCTTTCAAATGTGTTTCTCAACTTATTTATCTTTGCCTTTAACTTAGCTTTTTTAATGTGAAAAATATATATATCTACCAAATCTAGTACTATCATTTCTGAATATTCTGACCAAAAACCTGCACACATTTCTAGCTTAAAGCCAGTAAATTAGGTTAACTCAGCCCTGATGTAAGATTTTATAGAAAGCCTGGTCTCCTAACAATAGGCCAAATTCGTTCCTTCCACTCATTTCATGGCAACTGAAAATGCACACAGATTATAAAAAGAAAAAAAATGCAAAAGAAAATGACCTTGTATTTAGTTTCTATGGATTTATTCCTGTCCAATATCTGAGAAAATGTAAAGACTAACAGAATTTTGTAATCTTGTAAACCTCTTTACCTGCAAAAGTATTTATTAATAATCTACTTGCTCTGATTTGTACAGTTCTGACACCTTTACTATCTCTTTACCTTTAGAAGATCCAGAATGATCTGAATACACTGGAGAAATGGTCTGCAATCAATCAAATGAGATTCAACATGAACGAATGCAAAGTCCGGTACTTGGGACAGAAAAACTGCATGTGCAAATAGAGACTGGAAAATGAGTGGCTAGGCTGAAGTACTGGAGAAAAGTATTGGTCTGCTGGGGATTACAGTAGAACAGCAATGCTCAACCTTTTGGCCCACAGGCCAGATGAGCACCACAGGACCCACCTACAGGCTGGACTGGGCCTGGGGCCTGGAAGCACCTCTCCCAGCTCTGCACACCAGGATTGAGCTCTAGGGACCCGGCACCACCCCCTCCTTCCAGGATTGGGTCCCAGAGGCCTGGCACCACACCTCTCCCAGCTCCCCAGACCATGGTTGAGCCCTGCAGGCCTGGCACCACCCCTGCCCAGCCCTACATGCTGGGTTGAAGGCTGAATCCACCACACAGGGCCCAGGGCTCCCCATAGGTCCAGAGCCTGTGGCAGTAGGGGAGCAATTGCCACTGCTCCCCAACCACTAAATTTCTAGACCTATGGGGAACCCCATGGACCAAGTGAGGCAGTGCTGTGGGCCAGATCTGGCCAAAGGGCACCACTGAAGCAGATCATAAGCTGAATGAGCCAAAAGTGTTCTCTTATTACAAAAAGACCAACAGCATACTGAGCTCTATTAAGAGGCGTGTCACTTGCAAATCAAGGGAAATTAATCTTCCACTCCATTTAGCACTGGTGAGACCTCACCTGTGTCCAATTTTGGGCCCCACTTCAAGAAGGATGTAGACAGCACAGGAAATTTGGAAAGAACGTACAGAAAAAGTCTAGCACTGAGCAGCAAAAATGATTAGGGGCCTGGGAAGCAAGTTGCAAGGAAAAACTGAAAGAGCTAGGGTTATTTAGTCAGGAGAAGAAAAAACTGGGAGAGGGGTAGATTTGATAGAAGTCTTCAAATACCTAAAGGGCAATTACAGAGAGGATGGAAATAGGCTTTTCCCTGTGGCCCTAGGGTACAGGACTAGGAGCAATGGTCTCAAGCTGCAAAAGGGTAAATTTAGGTTAGAAATTAGGAGGAACTCTGACTATGAGGGTGGTCAAGCATTGTGGAACAGGCTATCTAGAGAAATGGTATAATCTCCATCACTGAAAGTTTTCAAGAGCACATCAGAGCAGACATTCACTCTCCCAGAAGAAACTCTTCCAGGAGTGATTTAAACTTAGTTGTTCCCAGCTTAATTTTTCTCCCAGAGTAGCGATTTTTACTCTGAGAGAAAAAGTCTGAACATCCGTAACTCGTGGTTTCTGGAAGAGCAGTGAATATCGCAGGAGAAACTGAATGGCTGTAGGAGACCACACACACTTGGTTGGGATGGTTTAACCAGGCTGATCCTACCTTGAGCAGGCGGCTAGACCAGATAACTTTATACGGTCCCTTCCAGCCCTACTTTCCTATGATCTTAATATTCATTCAACTGATTTCTGTGGCATCATGTTCAGTTTTCTTCCCCCCTTTCTAAGTCTTACTGTTTTATTAGTCTATTGCCCCAATACTTTTGTCTATATTCTGTTGACATTGCTGATATTACCCTGATATGAATAAAGGCTCAGACTATTTACTTTTGTTTTTATAAATCTTTGGCCACTTCCTTGCAGCAGTCATCACATACATCTCTTCTAAAGAAATCTGAAACAGCAGGTCAGCAATCTCTTTTCAGTTTTCCATTTTTGATGTTTAAAATGTCAATATAGTAAAAATAGTCACCAAAGCAAATCATTGCTCTGCTTTATCTGAAGAACATCAGCTACAGTTTGTTCAGTAGGTATATTACCAGGGATCCTGGTTTTCTCTGACTTAAAAAAAAAAAATTCCCAATTTTTGGTTTAGAAAAAGTAATCTAAAATCCACATTTTTCAGTGATTAAAATGAAATATTACTAATACATATTAGTGGTGTTTCATTTTAGTCATGCAAAAATGTGGATTTTAGGTTACTTTTTTAAAAATCCCCAATTTTTAGTTTAAGTAGAAGTAAACCAGGATCCCTGTACATTACACTGGGATATAATGAGCATCCTGCTGCCATTCCTGTAAAAAGCCAGATAGGTTACCATTCCGATTGGAGGCAACTGACTTTTATTGGGCCAGAAAACTGGCTATATCTCCCACTCAACCAGCCCCAGTAGCCAAAAAGCCTAATTAGTAAGATACTAACTGTGTACGAATGTCTAGATCTTCCTTAAGATTTTTTGATCAAGTACTGGTTTCACTGCAGAGAACACAACCCTCCCCTCCAAGGTTTGTTCAGAAATACCTTACTCCATTTCCAGAAAAGATACTGAACTGTTTTCTGTGTCCTTTCCTGTTAGGGATCTCTCTTCAATGTGGCATCAAAGCACCGGTGCTGCTTACTGCAAAGCTAAATTCACATGCAATGGAAAAGTACCCAAAAAGCCTGATTTTCTACAGCCTTGCACATATTTTGTCACTTTTTACACCTGCATGCATTGGGGCAAACCAGTATCAAGTCTGAATAGAGCAGCCTGTATCAGTGCCAATGGCAACATGTGATGCGGAAACGTTATTCAGGCCCTGAATGCATGTAATACTTATCTTGTCTTACCTGACTGAGGTGCTGAGTATAAGGAATTAGGGCCACCATAATGCCCATAATGAGGTGAAGAAGTAGGAGGGCCAAGTCCTGTAGAAAAGCCTCCCATTCCTGGCTGAGATTGAGAATAAGGAGGTGTCGCAACATAACCTGGTTGACTCATATTGACAGTTTTCTCATTCCAAATAAAAGTCCTTATTAGGGGTCTGCAAAAGAAAGATATCAGCTTTTACTCCATTAGCACTTTACAAGATCTGTGTTTTTCTTACCAAATGGAAGGCAGGATGAACTCCTGAATGCAGCAAGAGAATTGGGAGCTGAGAAAACAGTGCTAGCCTGACATTTCAGTTTTGTCCCCTTTTAAATGGCAGGTTTAAGTAGAAGCAGAAGTCAATCCCTTTCTTTCATAATCATAAGACATTTAAAAAAATTGTTTCAGCCAAGCATGGGATTACTGGCCACCTCCCGTACGAAGAATGATTTTTCCCACTTTGAGAATATGAAATGCCTGAATCTACATCTACATTATCCATGCCCATTATTGCTCCAAGATCACCTGTACCTATTAAGCTAACTCTGCCATCAACCTACCAAGAAGTTCAGACTAACTTTACTTTTTTTCTGGAAAGAGCCTTCTAAAACTTCAATAGTAATTGCTAGGAAATTTCTTCTAATTTCTATTCTATATTTGTTTATAACCAGTTTGTATCCATTTGACCTTGTACTCACCTCATGGTTTTTCAACAGCTCTCCATCCTCCTTGAAGAGTAATATTCCTTTCTAATCTTGGTCTTTTTAAACTAAACAAGTGGAACAATTTTAACCTTCTCCCATGCATAAGTTCTCCAGCCCCTTGGCTATTATAGTAATCCTTTAATATACCTGTTGCAGTTCAAATTAATCTTTTCTGAATGTAGGAGGCCAGAAACATGCATAGTATTCTAAATGGGATCTTACTACAATTTTGTACAGTGGTACTAATACTTCCCCGTGTATTACAAATACCCCTTCTTATACAACATAAAAGTCATACAGAAGTAGGACTAGAAGAGACCTCCAGAGGTCATATAGTCCAACACTCTGCCTGAGGCACGATCACCCCTATCCAAACCATGCCATACAACTATATCTAATAATCTAAACTCTAAATAAGACTACCATCAACCCTGATACAACATAGACCTAACACCCTAATATGACACACATAAAGCCTGGGAACCATGGCAGCCAATGTCCTGCTTCCATAAAATGTTATCAATACAGTCTGCCCCCCGTTACACAGTGTCAAGTTACACTGATTCATGTATACATGCTTTATATAATGTGACCATGTTTCAACTTCATGACACCCTGCTTCACATTTACACTGTTTGTGGTAGAGCAGTTGTTAGTTTGGAGTCTGCTTACATAGCATTAGCATCACTTGTCATCTCTTCTAAGACTGTCCATCATTTTTGGTTATGTTAACCCCTGAATATTTGTGAAAATGGCATCAAAGAAAGCCTTTGATGTTCTGCACCTAAGTCTATCAACCTGGCCCAGAAAATAGAAATCCTTGATAAATTAAGAGAAGGCAATAGTTGATTGTTGATTGTTGCTGTGTTGATTGTTCACCAATAGTTTAAGTGAATCGACTGTGCATACCATTTAAAAAAGTGAGCAAAAAATTAGAGACTGCATAAAAACAACAACCCCTGTGAGTTCGAGAGTGTTGTTGGTGACTAGTGAGTTCAAGAGTGTTGTTGGTAACTAGAATTCCTCATTTAGATAAGGCTGAGAAACTCCTTAATCTTTGGATCAATGAAATGACCAATACAAAAGGAGCAGTTGTCGACGGCATGGTAATTAGGGCTAAAGCTTTGTCTCTGTATGAGCATGTAGCCGGGAATAAAGGTTTTAATAAGGCTATTAATTCCATTATTTTGTGTTTAAATATCCTTTTATTATGAACTAATGTTATCAAATCTTGGTCCCAGGTCCCTATCCCCCCTGTTTTCCATTGACTTAACACTTCAAGTTACACAGTTTCAACTTACATGGTGTTTTTCAGGAACATATCCGCTGAGTAACTTGGGGTCTGACTATATATGCTCAGAAGGTCCCAGGTAGAGGGCCCCCACCCTCCACTACAGAGAAGACAAAAACCCCCCAGAGTCTATACCAATCTGATCATGGGGTAAAATTCCTTCCTGACCCCAAATAAGGCAATCAGTCTGACCCTAGGCAGAGGGGCAGCAACCTCTGGCTTTGCTCTCAGCAGGAGAATCAGCACACCCTAAGTCCCCAGCCTTGACTGTAGCCAACACCCAACTCCTCTGGGAAGACTTAAACACACCCTGATATGTCTAACAGAAAAAGTGTGTGTGCATGGGGGGGAGGCGCATCTACACATGCCCCTCACTGAGCATTTGGTACTGCACAGTCCCAGTGGTACATGGTTATTTTTAGACACTCTGTCACCATAGTGACAAGCTATGGTGACATAGCTTGTGGCTACAGCAATATGGTGTTGGCCTCATGGTTTGTGCCTGCAAATACTACATCGCCGTAGCATCTTGTGTAGACATGCCCTGTGTTTCTGTGGGCCGGGGGAGGAGGGGGCAGCAAAACCTAGACAACCAGCAAAACCTAGACATATGGGAAATACCCATGCAAAACATAGGCCTAGATCATCTGTAACAGCCAGAAACAGAGGGATTAATAAGCAATAAATATGTGCTTCCTGGAGACATTTGGTATTTTGCCTAAATAGGTAACATTAGCTAATATAAAGCTTGTAAGTTCATAACCCGCAAATGTAATTTGTCTGTCATAAGTTTAACCAAAATGATAAAATTAACTTTGTGGAACTGACTGGGCCCCGTAGGCAAAGTTGTAGCTGCAAGATTAGCTGACCTAACGGTTTCTGCTGAGGGTTCCGCCTTGACGATAAAAAACCGGATCCAACTGCCTGGCACACCCAACACATTCCAAGAAAGCACATTCCAAGAAAGCATATTCAAATGAAACCTAAAAGGGGCTGGGGCTTAGGTGGAGCAATGTCAATTTCAAACCTAAAGGTGCTGCATTGTAATTTGCTTATTGATTAAACCCGAGTCCAGGTAGTAAACTTTTATGATAATTTTTAACACCTTTCAGTCCCATAGGGTAACCACTATAAGGCAAGACTGTGAGTGGCTCTAAAGCCAACAGATTAGCATAAGACTGGGTATAAAAAGCGCCTGCATCAGGTGAACAGCAGGAAGGAGGGACCAGTACCGTCATTTCTGTTCCATGCCTCGACCCTGGACTCCCGGTGTGAGTGAGGATCGGAACCTGATCAAGGGACCTTCCCTGGTAATCCCTCTGACACTATTGATTGGGGACGCCTGACTTTGCTGGAATCACTTGATGCGTACCTAGGCATCAAGGGACTATCAGTAAGTTGCCAACCCATGTCTGTCTATCTGTTGTTTTGAACAGCCCAGTGGCTGATAACCTTGCAGTGCCCAGATGGCCTGAGACAGAATTGATTTATCTGTTATTATTATTTACTGTTAGCTCTTCATTACTGCATTAGCTGCTTATCACATTTATCTTACTGTTAACTGTTGTGTGCGTGTAAGCTATAATAAATTTGCTGTTACTTCACTCCCAACTTTGCCTCCTTGATCCAAAACTGAACCAAACAGCACAGCTGGCCTGTGATAGAATTGATACACTCACAGTGCCCAGCTGGCATGTGACAATCATCCCCAACCAGTGGCTGTCCAAACTCTTCTTGAACATACCTCCAGCGATGGAAAGTCCACAACTTCCTTAGGCAGTCTATTCCACTGCCTCTCTATTCTCCCAATAAAGAAGTGTTTCTGGATATCCAATCTAAACTTACTTTGCTGCAATTTCAAGCCACTGGTTCATGTCCTCCTCTCTGCAGCAAGACAGAAAAGTGCTTTCCCTTTTCGTTATAGCAGCCCCTCAAGTATTTGAAGACTGCTGTCATGTCCCCTCAAACAAGTCTTTTTCACGGCCACATCACACTGGTGATTAGCAGATTACAAATTAAGCAGTATACTTAGGTCCCTCTCTTCCTTCATTGCCTCCAGTTTATGACCCCCATTTCAGAGCAGTTCTTGGTAATATTCCTTAAGTGGACAGCTCAGCATTTCATACTATTAAAAACTTCATATTATTTCTATTGTTCCACTCCAAAAGGTTATCCGTTTTTTCCTGTAGAATACCCAGTGCTCCTCTGGACTAGCAATACGTCCCAGCATAGAGTCATTTTCAGATTTTGTAAAATTTACCTTATACCAATGTCACTAATGAAAATGTTAAACAAAACAGGCCTCACTCCCCAAATGAGAACTCTCCATTACTAACCTGTCTCCAGTCTGATAACTCTCCTTTCATTGTCACCCCTGGTAGTCTCTCATTTAGCCATCTTCTTAGCCATCTAATTATTATAGAATTAGTCCCATCTTTCCAGTTCAGCTAATAATTTCTACATAAGGCACAGTATCAAACTGTTGGCTTCACTGCATTGCCTTTTTGTAGATGTCAGTTGACCTGTCACTAAAGGATATCAAATTGCTCAGATATGATCTTCCTTAGATAAAAAACTTATTGTATTTTGTCATACTTTGTTTACCTCCATATTATTGATTATTCTTTCCTTCAATATCTGTTAGAAGACTTGAAATAGCACTGAAGTCAAGTGAATAGGTCTGTATTTCCCACTCCTACCCCCTTTACTTTACATAGTTTATTATATCTCAGTGCTGGATCTCACTGCAATAAATCTTTTAACAATCTTCTGAAGATTAAGGAATGCCTTGTAGCCAAGTCTTTTCTTTGCTGTTATGCTTAAAATGCTTTCTTTATGACCACTGATGATTTTATATTAATATTATATAATCAAGTATGTTGCAATATTTAGCTAAATCACTAGATTTCATAACACTAATTCGCATTTACCTCTCATTAAGGGACCTGAAAATGCTGGCCAGCTATTGAAGTTGTGCTGCACAACCCTGTGACCTTTATTCCCGACTGAAAGAGAAAAGAAGAACCTGAGGGGTTAAAGCTAAAAATTGACCTTATCTATAATAATAAAAAGCTAGTTTTAGGTGTCCAACTTGAGCCTGATTTTCAGTGGTGCTGAGTGTGCATAATTCTTAACTGAGGTCAGAAAGAGCTGACTGCTCAGCACCTCTGAATAGTCA